CAGAGTCTAGCCAGACACGCTGCACAAGCCTTTCTTCCCGAGACCTCTGGCGATCTCACGGGTCCAGTCAGGAGGCTGCTTTTGTGCACTTGACTGGGAGGAGAGGCTGAGGGAACTGGGCTGATTGAGTCTGGAGAAGAGAAGACCGGGGGGGATTGAATAGCAGCCTTCACCTCCCTGCAGGGGGGCTGCAAAGAGGATGGAGCTGAGCTGGTCTCAGTGGGGGCAGATGACAGGACAAGGAGCAATGGGCTCAAGCTGCAGCAAGGGAAGTTGAGGTTGGATATTAGGAAAAACTCTCTCCCTAGGAGGCTGGTGAAGCACTAACAGGTTACCCAAAAGAGTGGTGTCATCTCCATCCTTGGAGGCGTTGAAGACCCAACTAGACAAAGCCTTGGCTGGGATGATGTAGTTGGGGCTGGTCCTGCTTGGAGCAGGGGGTTGCACTAGATGTGACCTCCTGAGGTCACTTCAACCTTCATTTTCTATGAACCTATGACATTGTATCTAGGGTTGAGTATTTGACCAGTCAAATAAGGTTTGGTCAATTGACCACTCAAATATCAGTGAAAAGTTGTTGGGGCGGGGGGAATGCCAATGGGTTGAAATAATACACAGAAAAAGCACAAATTTTCCATTCAGAAATGTGTCAAAAAACAATTTAAAAAATCATATTTCTCGCAAGAAAGTTACAAAAAATGATTGTTTGTGTTTTGCTTTGTTTTTGTAAAATTGCTATAATCCTTGACTGGTCAAAAATATGCAGTCAATTGACAATATTTGACCAGAATATCAATTGACTGGCTCACTGACCCTAATTTAAACAATATGGGCAGCAGCAGGACATTGCCCATCATGGCCCCTCTGCTTTACCTGCGGCAGGTCCGGTGTTATATCTTGTAGTTGTGTTAGGGTTGGCTGTGCAGTTTTCTCAGTAGTTTAGACAATGGATTTGTATGGGATGGCCTTGCCTCAGGCATGGGGATGACTTCTGGAGGTATCTTCCCACCCTACTTCTCTATGACGTCTATGAGACTTTCTAGGAGAATCCAAGCCCTCCCTTGTCTTTTGTATTTTAATTGCTGTCTCCTTTTAGTCTGCTTTCTGTCCTTTCACAGCATCTGATGAAGTGAGCACGAAAGCGCGTGCTATCTATCTATCTATCGATCTATCGATCTATGTATCCACATACATAGATACATACATACATATAGCTATACAAACACCTGTGTATATGCCTATACAAATACCATTACATTTATATTTGCATTCATATACACATGCATAAGTATTTACATTCATATTTGCATATGCATATACATATATAGAGATATATATTTAGCTATACATACATATACACACATACGCGCACACAAATATACACACACACACATATTTCAGGGGTGTAGGTTGTAGCTGTGTTGGTCAAAGGACATGGGCAGACAAGGTTCTTTGGGTAAATCTGATATCTTCTATTAGGCCGAGTTGGTCTAATAAAAGATATCAGCTTTACATATATGCTTACATTTATATTGATCTATACCTATACCTACACATAGTTTATAAGGTACACATCTACCCTGCCTTCTGCAAGATTTCAGATTAACACGATGAACTGTGTCTCTATTTCAGTGAAAATGTCTCAGGATGGTGTAGCTGTCTGATGATGAGCAGGCAGCAGAGCATCCTACTGCTTAGCTACTGCGGTGTACCTGTGACTGCAGGGCCCTGGTTTCCTTGTGTGCATTTGTTCCATACACAGGTAAGGTGGGAGGGTTCCTGTGGCTCATTAGTAAAAAAAAAAGTCTTCTGTTTTTTTGGTGAGTTTTCCTGAGCAGCCGCCACTCAGAGCATTAACAGTGGGGACGGGAGAGACCGAACCTCCTTAGCACTGCTAGTGCATTCCCTCGTGCCCTCCCATGCACAGTGATGGTGGTGTCATCCTTGCCACGTGCAAGGTCAGCGTGTCACCGTGTGCAGGGGGGAAGTAGGTTCCCACCTCAGGGAGCTGCAGAAACAGCCTCTCCCTGCAGATCCGGCACCAGGTAAACAACACCTCCGCTAATTGAGCAGGGAGCACTCAGAGGATGCCTGCTGCCTGGAGGATTCGGGCGCTGAGCAGCCATCCGCAATGGCTGAGTGCAGCATTTCTGGAGGAGGGGGATCCTCAGAGGGCAACACCGTCTCCGGGAGGAGTGCGCCAAGCCCAGCGTGCTCTTGCGCATCGTTGACTCGATTTTCAAGCTGGGGAAGATGCCCTGAGAGCACCTGCTCGCAGTGTCCTCACCAACACACCTGGCCTTGGGTGCCCTGAAGCCATCCGTAGTGGCCAGGCCCTTGTGGGTGACTCCTGGCATGGGCCTGTCCCTGGAAACCAGCTTGGGACAGACGTCCTGCATCCCTAAGCAGTCAGCTCGGTGGAGAAAACTTTTATAACCTGGAGCGGGTCCATCCTGGCTGGCGTACAGTGTCTCAGCAGAGGGAGGATATGACAGCCTACTTCATGACCCCACACCCTCCTCCAGTGGGGGGGTAATAATATAATCATTAATATAGTATAATATAATATATTATAATATAATAATATTATCTGCACCCTGGGTAATAACCTCCTGCTGCTACTGGTGGAAGGAGCTGCTCCCCTAGCACGAGTGAGAAAGGACTCTGCATAAATCCCAGCTGGTGTCTCTCGGGGAGGCTCCTTTCCAGGGAAATGAGATGCTGCCCAAGCACCTGGGAATCTGTCCCCTGCTCACATCAGTCGTGGGAGTTCCCAGCATCTCGGGCCAGAAAGGACCGGCACTTAATTGCTGTGAGATGGAGGGGAGGAAGCAGCTGCTGGCCTTCGGATGCAGAAATGTTTCCCACATGTGGGCTGCAGGGTTCCCTCGCCAGCCTCCATTTGCACAGGGGAGCCAAACTTTGCAGCAGGAGCAGATATGAGCTGGCCGTGCACCGCTTGTGCTCTGGCTACTAGGTGGCCTTGAGTGCCTAGGTCGAGACCTCTGGCGGCTTGTTCCCTGTTTGCTGTGATCCTCACTTAACTATGCAGCTGGGTTGCACAGCTCATCTTTCTCACACGCGTGGTGTCTGGGCCTGTGTGCATATGGCACAAGCTGCCCCCGGTCCTCTGTGCCTTTTTTGGCTTCACATCTAAGCCCTATGGCATCTTGAGGCTGCAGTGTTAGTGGCTGAGCCCTCTCAAAGGGAATACATCCTGGGGTGGGGGCTGTTGGGTAATGGACCCTCTTTTGCCTTGTCCCTGCTCTGCTTTGCTGGCAGAATATGTGGATACAGCTTGTCCGGCTCTGCCTGTGCATGCACCAAGGAGAGCAGGCTTGTTCAGAGCTAGCAATGCTCTTTCTTGCTGGCTGGAGCTGGCCCAGGGCATGCTCTCTTCCCCCCACCACCCTGCCTGAAATCCCCTGTTGTCTTGTAGAGCTACCATTTTCCTGACAAGCAAGTCCCCAGCTGCAGCTGGCAGAGCGTCCCATGGAGCCAGTGCTTGGAGGGGAGGGCGCAAGGGGCATTCACACCACCGGTGCCACCCCCCGCTTGGACTTTGGACTCCTTTGCATTTCCCTCCCTGGTACGCTCTCCTCAACTGCAAAAGATGCCCGGTGGTTCCCCTTGCTTTCTTCTCGGGGGACGTCTCCACTGAAAACCCATCAGCTGTCCCGTGGGGCCGTCTGCTGCAAAGGGGTTCAGCTTTTCTCTCTTCAAAATGAAGACTAAGCCTAATCTCACTGAGCCCAGATCTCTTCCAGTCTTTAACGTTTGGATGCTTATCTTGCTGGGATCCTTTGACCCCAGCTGACTTCCTGCCCCTGGGGCAGGGGGGGCTGGACTCGATGATCTTCAAGGTCCCTTCCAGCCCAAACGTCTATGAAATCTATGAAATCTTACGTTTCATGTCTTTCCACCAGCGTAAGCTGTTTGTGGCCCCCGTTGTCTTTTCTGTAGCAAGTGCATGTACAGCACCTAACACACTGAGGCTCCCCCTCCCCATAACCCACAGGTACTAGCAATGCAAATGCAAATCAGATCACAATGCTCCACAATGCAAATCAAATCACCAGAATGGGCTCATTCCTGGCTTGCAGCGGAGTGAGCAAGGATGACCTTGGCTGTCTGATAGCCATAAATCTCTTTGCTTAGGTGAGGGGTCTCAGGGTCATAAATCTCAGAGGGTCTCAGAGTCATAAATCTCTTTGCTTCATAGTCACTGTGTTGTATGTCCTCACAGCAAAAGTATCTGAGGAGCGAGGCCTCCAGCCACCGCTTTGAAGCCACTCAGGAAGTCTGCAGTGGTCCAGGAGAGTGAGCTTGGGTCTCCTGGGTACCACAACGCCCAAAGCATCCTCGTCTCTTGGCCCTACAGACACTGTCACTGAATCAGATGCTGTCAGAGATCCCAGTCTCGATGAGCAATGGAAATAGGATCTCCTAATGGGAAGTGTCAGAAAACCTTAACTGTGGGCATCTCTGGCTTATCTTGTAGCAACTCGCCTGCAATGGGCTTTGTCCCTCGAGCAGCGCAAGGTCCTTGCTTTTGGAGCTCCCTGCCTGCTCCGTTGGCGATGCAGGTTCGCGGGCGCTGGTGCTGGTCTCACCTCACCTCACCCCTTGCCCAGAGCCGTGCATTTTTGGAAAGGCTCTGCCAGCGCGCTCTCACGTCTCCTTCCCCGGGAGCCACCATGAAGCTGTGCTCTGCCGCTCTCCGGGAAGAAAAGTAGGTCATGGTGTCACATAAGGCAGCTGAGCGGTAATCCCGAGCCAGGCGAGCGGAGGAAGACGCTGCCAGATTGGAGATGATAAACGACCAGCTGTGTGGGATAAACAGGGGAGGAAGAGACTTTATCAGGGAGCTCCGGAAAACCTAGTCGCCGCCTGCACAGAAATGTCAGGTGAGAGTGCTCACGCCGGCTCGATCAAGCCAGCCCCGGGCAGCAAAGAGGGCTCCGGGTCTCTCTTTATTGGTGCAAGACTTGGAAGACATAGGTGGCGCAGGTGAAAGCTCCCCCCCACCACCCTTTCCCAAATTTCCTTCTTGTCTCCTTCATTTTCCACCATTAGATGCAAGTAACCAAAGCAGAAAGCACCAGCGATTCATTGAAAAATCAGCTCTTGGCCTTCCAGCATCTTGGGTTGTAAATCGTATTTTCTCTCTCTGATCGTTCAGAGTCTCCTCGTTTATTTGTTTTGGTTTTTTTTTAATTGTTAATTTTGTGCAATGTAAGCATCCCAAAAAATGAGCTTTCCTTCCTGCCCCAGCAGCCTCCAGCTCTCCTGAATCCTCGTGACATAAATCTCAATGGGTCTCTTAAAGTCGGGCTCAAGCCTTGCAATTAGTATTTGAAGCAAGGTTTTGGATACCCCTGGGGTTCAGGGAGAGTGCTGGGATCTTCAGATTTCAGTCAGATGGTTATAAAATTAGCAGCCACTTGCAAAATTGGACTCTAGACCCGGATTTTAACTCCGAGATGCTTGGGGATTTCTTATCCCCTATGGGGGGGGAAGGGTTGCAAACCTGAGGGGCTGGAGCTTGAGTCAAACTGCTGCAAGGAGCATGCAGGCCATTGTCACTGGTGGGTTTGTGCCAGTAAAGGCTGATTTATCCTGAATGTGGCCTGGATCAACAGCCAGTCCTGGAGAGTAAGCAGACAGGGAGGTGAGTGTGCTCCCATGCTTCACCAGCCTAACGTCCCTTCTCCAGCAGCTTGAGGTGGTGCTGGATGATGCTGAAAGCCCCTCAGCTAGGAAGTTGGAGTGTGGTGCTCAAATCCCCTAGGCACTGAAACTAGGGGCTCTTCAGACTGGAGGACTAGAGCATGCTGGAGGCCCCCTTCCTGCAAAGCTGAGGTCTGCTCCGGACCCTGCCCAAGCTCATGCTCTCTGATACTTGGAGGCCTCTTAGGAGACCAAAGCTTGGGCCAAAGTTTGTTCCCAGGAGCTGGATGAGCAATTATTAACCCTTGTGAGATCTCCATGCTGCAGGTCTGGGAGCAGCTTTGAGGGCAGCAGAAGGGCAATGCAGGGGAGCCACGGACCCATCCTCACCGTCCGTGTCTGAGCTGCATGGGGATGGGTCTCGCCAAACCCTAAGGCTCTGACCCCCATGGTCTGAGCACCCCTCTAGCCAGGGCTTTCTCCTGCCTTTGACTTGGCACCAGGGACTTCAAGGGGAGGCTTATGATGTAAGTCTGAAGTCTCAAGAAGAAGGGAAGATGCCAGGTCATGAGCACAAACCAGCTGTGGACACATGGGGTAGACATACTTCCCATCAAAGCAGAGGTTGGAGCCTCCTGAAACTGCCCTTGAGTGTGTTGAGATTGTCTGCAGTATTTTAACAGTCGTAATACATCCCTCATCCTCCAGTCCCTGTGCTGGGAAGGGAAGCATCATGGTATTGAAGTGACTCCTACTCTTCAAAAAGGGAGGGGAGGAAGGTGACAGCAGTTGTACAGGTGAATAGAGCCCAGGTGCCTTTCAAAAGGAGCAACTGGGATGATAGCTAAGCACTAACCTTGCCCAGATGGGTAACCAAAAGGTCTCGAGGTCCTAAAGTCAGATCATCCCTCATTATTTAGAGACTGTAAATCATCTTAGGGCACTTGGCAGGAGTTATCCAGTATAACCATGTCGTTAGAAAAGGTCCTCCCTGTGTTCCTAGAAAAAAAAAGGATTATTAAACCCAAGAGGATGTTAATAATCTGGTCAGTGGTACTTGTACTGTCTGGTTATTTTCTCTTCCTAGGTAGACTAGGTTGAGTTTCATCACCAGAGAGGACTGCAATTCAAAATCAGCTGTGATCTTATTTTTTGTTAATTTCCCCAACTCTGTTGGAAATGGAAATGAGGGTTTTCAACAAGAGCTTCAACCCACCTTTCACTGATATAAGAGTATTCACCCATAGCCAAGTGCCCCACTTATAGTGAACCAGTGCCCTGGATCCAAATTCATCCAGACTGGGGATGCATTCAAAAGCTGGACCTGAATGTCATAGGTTTTACCTTAAACCAGGAGGTGCAGCTAGATCCAGACAGGAGACCTGTCCAGGTGAGGCTTGCATGCTTTGTGCAGGACGTGGGGCATTGTGGATCTCTGTGCTTGTATCCCATCACCTTCACATGCCAAGGCAGGGAGTCCCACCTGCTCCTTCAGTCAAGGGCCATATGGCAGAGCTCATGTCTGGACTAGAGGAAGAAATCCAGTCTTCAAGGGATGGAGACTCACTTTGGGGTCCCTCCAACCCTATGCCCAGGTACTAAGTTGCACGTGGGTAAGTACGAATACCCAACGCGTGTACTGCACCTTCACTCAAAGATCCCAAACAGTACAAAGGCCAGTGTTTTGGTTTTTTAAATTGGCCCTGAAGTTTTAAGGCCAGAAAGGATCATCGTCGTTGTCAAGCCTGACCTCCTGACTCCACCCCGAGGATAAGGTTGCTTTGGGAGGATGGGGGCCTGTTGGCAGCATCACAGGACAGGAAGCATCTGGTGCACCGTGATGTCAACACTCATCAGTGGAGACTGTGAACGGTGAGTAACGGTGACTCTAGCATCAGCACTTCTCAGGCCAGGAAAGGTGATGGGATGCTTGGGCCTTATCTATCTTGCCTCCATGCCATGCACCCAGGAGCTCTGCTGCTGCACACCCTGCTCTCTTCTTCCTGCTCTTGCCAAATCCTGGACAGGCACCTGAACACGCACCACCAACGACACCTGAGGGGGAAGCCATGAGTACACTCTTGGCAGTGATGCTGCCTCGTGTCTTGGGATTTTGCAAGTGTGGGGTGGAAGGACATCTTCCTGGGGGCACTTTCCCCTCGACGGAGGTGGTAAGGACATAAGAAGTGCCAGACTGGGTCAGACCGGGGTCCACATATCTCCAGCAGGGGCAGGGGTGGCTGCCTTAGAGGGAGAGCATTGAACCAGATATCTCTGGAGTGCCGTTACCCTTCCTGGCATGCACTATTATAGGTCTAGAGATGCCAGAGGAAACATCTCCAACCGGTCTGTGCTGTCAGCAGGCCATTGCTGCCTGCAGGGGGTCAGGGCTTTGGTTTTTCCTCACTTCTGGAAGCTGTCTCCTCTGACAATGGCAGTAGGAGAGGAGCAAGATGCCACATATGCCCTGTTCACCCTCCTTTTCAGCATCCTCACCCTGCCACTAGATATGAGCTAGAGGACATGAGTCTGTATACGGCAGCTCTTACGGCCCAAGTGCAAACTGGAGGTACAAATACCTCCCTTCCCTCTGCCGAGTGCGTTCTGCTTCCCCATCAAGCTAGCAAGAGAGCCGAAATTATGAATGGCCTACAGTTTTTCAGGTTATCTCTCTCCGTACGTCGCATCTGAGCTAAATACCAGCCCCGTGGCAAGGCTGCTGAATGACATGTTTGCACTTAGGCAGTGATTCATGAACTGACCCCCAGAGGAAACCATCAGGAACATGCTCCGTCACGCTCCCTCCGGAGGAAAGCTCTTGTTTCTTTTCCTCTTCCCGTGGCACTGCAAGACCTTGGTGAGTTTAAAGAAAGATCAGGCGCAGAATGCACAAATAAGTTAATGAAGGGCGGCTTCTTTTTTAGCATGACAATGCTGGGGGTGAGGGAAACTTTATCTTTCCATCCCTCCCTGCAGCACTGAGGAATTGAGCTTGCCTATATAGTTTAGTGTCTCATGGGTGATTCTGTGGCTTCCCCCAGGTAATTTATTCCAGTGTTTAACAAACCTTGCAGTGAGGAAGCTTTTCCGAGCATCTAACCTAAATGCCCTTTGTTGCAGTTTAAGCCCATTAGGTCTTGCCCTGTCCCTTGTGGGCGGGGGGGACCGTGGGAGTGGAAAAGAAGCTGATAGCTGAAGCGACTGCACAGCTTTGCCATGCTAGCTTAAGCTCAGGTGCTGGCAGTGTTCACTTGAAATAATGTTTTACATTGGCTTTCTGTTGCCTCCTTGGCCTACTTTGGGCTGAGTGAAGATGCCAGAGGCTATCTTCACAGAGAAATAGGCATTGGGTTAGGCAGTAAGGGCCTCATCCTCCACCCATCGATGCTAAGTGCCCTCTAGACACCTTAAAGTTATGCCACTTCGGGTGAGGGTTATCTTTGACCCATGCTACCAAGCTTGAGTTACCTTAACTTTTGGCTGCTCCACTGAGGGGAAGTTGTAGAGGATGGAGGTGGGGAGTGGGTGGGTGTGGCAGCCCCCCACAAGTCTGGACTGGGCCTTCAACGGGCCCTGATCCTACCGGGGAGTTGCTGGGAGGGCTGGTGGGTGAGTGGGAAGTCGCAGGCCCCAGCAGGGGTGTTGTGGGCTGGGTCTAGGCATGCAGGGGCAGTATGGGCTACAGAGAGCAGACAGGCGAAGGGACCTAGCCACCGCTGTCACTCTCTGGGCTGAGCCCAGCCCCTGAAGTGGGACAGGAGCTTTCCTGCAGTTGAGTTGGGAGCCAAGGAGAGCTGGGAAGAGCAAGGGCCTGATCTATACCAGCAGAGAGTGATCCAGGCCAGTGGGGCCTGATCCTGGAGCCCCTATTAGGCACAGACTAGACTTGCCAGCTGCTAGCTGTGCCCTTGCTCCCCAGCCCTCCAATAGCAGGTCAGAGCTGTGCACATTAGGGTATTAACCCTGATATCACTCAACTGCTCACAGCACATGCTAACTTTAACACTGGCTAACATCCATTAGATTTAGCACATGCTAATTGTAATGATGAGTAACAACCCCCTTATGACTTTCAGAGGTGCCAAGCTGTGAAAATCAGGCAACATATTTAAGCAGCTTATTTACGCCCCTGAGGACTCTGGCTTGGAAAATAAACATGAGAGTTTGTAATGAGACAGGGACTGAAGGGAAGTGCTGCCATCCCACCTGACTTCTCATCTCGCTCCTGGATGCCCACCTTCAGGAGGTGGTATTGCCAGGCACCGTGGCAGCTGAACCCTGCTGCCCTATAAGTCCTGTTTCATTAAATGCTTGTGGATTGAATGGAAATGAAATGAAAATGGTGTCTTCTCTTGTATGTTATTTTAAAAAAGCTGCTTTGGAAACCTCCACATCTTGATATACAAAGGGATTTGAACACCCAGTCTGGTCGGGTAGCTGCTTCTGTAGGAACACAGACACATCTCTTATTGGAAGAGAATTGTCTGGCTTCTGAAGCAGCTGAAATCACTCTGGATCATAATTTAGCACAGCCAGATGGAGCGATCAAGTGATTACTGACCCTGTTAGAAGCTGTCACTACTGAGGATAACTTATGATCGCTGAGGCTTATTGCCTTCTTGTAAGGCACTGTGTTGGGAAATGCTGGACTTGGACGAGTCACTGTCTGGGCTAAACAAACAACACTATTGTATTCTTGCTTCCTGGGTTGCAAATTTGTCCCCTCTGCCTGGATCAAAGCACCTTTCAACGCCAGGGACTGCATGAGATCCAAACCCTGGTTGGGATTTGCAGTTTGCAAAGGGTCTTTATATTGGACCAAACATGCTTTGGCATTGGAGTGTTTGGGATGTGGGTTTGGACGTCAAGATTAGAACCCAGCTTGGTTTGAGCCTGATATCTAGATGCACACGGGGCAAAGCCAGTCTTGCAAGTAAGTCCAGCCTTGAGTGACTTATTCCAGTATTTCAATCTGCGCCTGAGAAGCTCAAAGATCTGACTGTGCTTTGGGCTGCTTCCCTTTGCTCCAAACTGCATGCATTTTGCTTCAAATTTGGGTCAGACCTCACCAGTGATGGCAATCTTCCATCTCCCAGCTGGGTTTGCTGCAAATCCTGTAGCAGGGTAAATAGAGGAGGGGGGAAAGGGGCAGCTTTCAAGTGGGGATGTGGCTCGCTGTGATGCACTGGGCCCAGGAAGGCCAGGCAGAGGTCGGGCTATGTGGAACAGCAGCTCCTGGGCATACCTAGTATAGACCTTTCTCATGCAGCAATCACTGCTAGTGAAACAATGCTGACTGATTCTTGTATTCAGACCCCAATTCCAGACTAGAAATCCTGCTTCAGCAGAGTTTGATGGAGCACACCCTGAGAGAAAAGCACCAGGTTGGGTTGACAGCACGGGGCTAGGAAGACCCAAGGCCCAAGCCTGGGAGGGTGAGGCTTGGGTGGCAACACAGGGGCCAGGAGAGTCCAAGGCCCAAGGCCTGGGTAAGAGTGAGGCCTAGTGGGAGGCCAAGAGTGAGGTCCAGGTACATCAACAGACACCTGAGGCCTAAGGCGGGTAAGGCCCAGTGAGGGAGCGGAGTAGTGTGTCAGGGCAAGGGGCCTAATGAGAGGCAAGGAGCCCAGAGTGTATGTGGGAGCAGAGGCCCTGGAGAGGGCCCAGGCATGCCTAAGGACACCTGAGGCTGGGCCAGAGGCCAGGCCAAGGTATGTCCAAGGATGCCTGAGGCCAAGTTTGGGCCAGAGGCTGAGTGTGGCCCAGCAATGCGGCTGGGGGAATTGTCACAAACTGCTGGAAGACCATGTAAAACTCGACATAAGGAAAAACTTCTTTACAATCTAAGTCTCCAGAGTCTGGAACAGACTCCCCTCAGAAGTCAAGGATACCTTTAAGAAACTCTTGGATCTTGCTGGTGTGATCTGACCCCAGATGACTTCCTGCCCCTTTGGGCAGGGGGCTGGACCCCATCATCTCGTGAGGTCCCTTCCAGCCCTAACGTCTATGAAGTCTATGGATGCCATCTGTGAGGCATGGGACACAGTAAAGGGGAGGTTGGAGCCATGTATTATGCCCTTGGCATCAGGGCATTAAATGGGCAGCCTCCCACCTAGAAACAACTATTTCATTACAACCAAGGCATGGCAGGTGAGTCAGGTGGGTGGACAGAAACTCTGAATGGCCTCGTGTCACACACTGTTAACCATCCTTTAGACCGAAGTCACTCTTTGACGTTAACATACTTGCCCTGGGAGTGGGAAAAATCACAGCTGAGGCCTAGTATGATAAAATTAAATAAAAAAGCCTTGGGGTTAGCACATCTAGCTTGGACTAATCATGCGTGAAACTTCTGCCACTCTGCTTTGGGGCTGGCTTAGAGCAGCAGTGCTGAGCGCATGGGGAGCAGGTATACCCATTGCTCTCACTGTGTCTTTCTGTGCCTGGCAGGATGGCAGCCAGGAGGAGGGGCAAGACACAAGATTTCTCCAACATTAAGGAATCGCTATGGTACATATTTGAAATGCAGAGCAGCACCTGGAGCCTGCAGCGAGTCAGTGGCTGGGAGGAGGCTGGTTGTGTGGGAATCCTGAAATGAGGGTCAAGCTGAGACGCAGGATTTGTTTGGTGCTTTATTTTGCTCATGGTCCTTTCTTACACAAATGCTTTGGGGACATGGTTTTGCAGTTCCTTGTACCTGCTGAGCAGTGTGAATTGAGCAAAGGGACCAGCCACAGGGCTGATACTATCCCACTGACCTTGGGCAAGCCACTTACTTAGTCTCTCTCTCTTCCAGGTCCTCCAGCTGGAGAAAGAAATGTATTGACTTCTACTTCATATACCCATGTTACATGTACTCACAAGCCCTATGGCCTCTTGGAGGTGAGAAGCTGTCTCCTCCCAGCTGTTGGGGATGGGGAAGAAAATTGGGAACAGAACTGCTTCTTCTGTCAAAGTGGGTTGCCCAGAGCTCTGGGCAGACAAGGGCAAGGTGCTTCCCTGCCTCTTTCTACTGATGCTTGGTTGAAAGTCCAGGATGAACATCTTTTGCATAGGCAACTAAATAATTGGGAAAGTTGTCCTTTGCAAGCTTTTGGGTACAAACACCCTTCTTCAGGTGCAGGGAGAGTCTCTTTTGCATAGGCTTTCTACCCAGAATTCCTTTGTTGCCACTTGAGAGTCACAGAAACCTGGATACAAGGATGGGAATGGTTGGGCAGTGGAAGTGAATAGTATAGAGAAAGGAGAATGTGGTTCCTGCTATGTGATTAGAGCTAAGGAACAAAACATCTCCTTAAAGGTTTTAGGTACGTGCGTCATTTTTTGGTGGGATTCATCGGTGGAAGTCGACTCAGAGACAGCTTCCTGATGGAACGAGATATGGGAAGGGATACCGAGAGAACTGAGTGGATTTGAGTGAGTCTCCTCCTCCTGTCTACCCCCCTAAAGCAGTGATTCTCAGGGTGCTGAGCATCCTGGGGTGCCTGGACAGCCCTTCAAGGTTGCCATGTAATGTTAGCTTTGGTAGGTTGGGATTTATGTTGTGAATCAGACCTTTGGAGAATTCAAATAGCAATCCATAGCCACGGCCCTTCTGTGTTCTTTGCAACAAAAATCCTGTCAATGATTTTTCTGTAGTCAAAAAAAGAGATAAAGCTAAAAGCTGCTGCTTTCCAAGGGTGCCTTGAGTCTACATGTGTCTAAAAAGGTTGGGTCCACTGGCCTAAAGGAAGCTGGTGTCGTTCTGGGGAAAGGAGGGTGCACAAGGCCACACTTGCTAAGGACGTGGATGTCGGCCTTGTGGATATTAGCACCTGACACTGTGCTACCCACTCCCCCCAAACCACGAGTGCAGTCTAGTGTGTGGGGAAGGAGAAGGCGATGTGGTAGAGGGAGTTTTCACCAGCAGATGGAGAACTGAGTTAAAAGAGTGACTGCCAACATGACCACAGGGGAGTGCTGCCTTCATTATTTCTAGAAATGGATCTTCGCTGCGTTTTCCAGAGCTGACGCTGTGTTTTGCCTTGTCCTTGGTTGTTACGCAGCGTCTGTGCTGACAAGCAGGAAACTGCTGCTGAACAAGGGGGAAAAAAATAACAATGTTGGAAATTCAGGGAGCTGGTACTGCTTGTTAGTTAAGAGGGACCCCCGTGTATTTGAACCAGGTCTTGGTGGCTACCAAAAGCACCTGACAGAGGGGTTGGCAAACAGGGAGTGACTCTAGCAGGCTCTCCCAGGAGCACTGGGCACCTCTCCCAGTCTTGTTGGATGGTAAGACAGCATTTGTTGCTGGTGCCTGAGAGGGAAGCCTGCTGGGTACTGGACTGCTGGGATGATACAAGCACAGCCCTCTGCTCTGCATGCTATTTAGAGCCTGTTTTCCCTGTCGCCCACAATCACAACCACAGCTGTTTGCTTGTTTAAAGGAGGCCGTTGCAAACTCTTCAGGAAGGCTGTATTTCCTTGGCTGCCACTTGCTATAAGTATTGAAATGTATTCCTTCACCAGCTCAGAGCATCTCATGATGCATTAACAAACCATCTAATCTGTAAGGGGTATTCCCACGCAAGCAAACATGGGGACAGACCAAGGAGTGGCTTGGGCAGAAGGCTGTCAGGAGCCCGAGGGCTGCATTTAATGTCTTACATTGAGCTGATCACCTCTGGGCATCTTTGGTACCCGGACTATGCAGAGCCTGCAGATGCCTGTGGGTGGGGAGGGGGACCCCACAAGGCCTGCCTGCCTGGATCCTGGTGCAGGTTGGGAGATGCTGTTTCCACATCAGAGATGACTGTGTTAAAGGGGGGCGGCTTTGGGGTAGCATACCGCTTCACCTGCCATGAACTCCTTGCCCATATGGTAGACTTTCCTGAACCAGAGCTTCAGCACACAGTGGCAGAGCATATTCCAGTTCAGGAAAGTACGTATGCATGTGCTCGATGTTGCACATGCCAGTAGGGTTAGAGCCCATATGTCGGGGTTGTTGGGGGCATTTGTAAGCTTGGGGGTCAGCTGAGAGCACCATCCTCCAGGGCCTGAGTCACAGAGGAGGAAGAAGCCAAATGGGGGAGTTTGCTGTGACCCTGGAGCTTGTTTCCTTGCACTGTTATGTTCTTGTATCCACACAGATCTTCCTAGAGCAACATGCACCGATGGCTGGGCCTTTCAGAGCACCATATGTTATCCCAGCTTCTCTGCTCAGGGCTTCCTAACCTCATCTGATACCTCTGCCTCTCAGTCCTGCCTCTGGCTTCTCATCCATAGCTCAACACTGGGCATCAGAGCTTGCTCCCCACCTCCCTTGTCTGAGTAAGGAGGTATTTCATTTTGAAGGGCTTCTACTTTATTTTTCCAGGAACCGTATGGTTGCCCAGCCCTATAGAAAGGAGGGTGGACAGTTTGGGGACAGCTCTCTGCAGCAGCAGGACTTTCTTTCTGGTGCCTGGCACGTTAACCAGGATGACTCTGGGCTCCTGCCTGCCTGGGGTTCCCTGCTCGGTTTGGCCCCATGACTCGCATTTCTCCCTCTTGTAACCTGTTGGTCACCTGTGTGGCTGGTTATTCCCTCACCTGCATGTATGTATTTGGGCAGCATGGGCTTTTCATGTCATCACTGGCCAGCAGGCCAGACCGGTGGCTTATGGAAAGGGGTTTAAAGAGCAGGCACAACCCACCCCTAGTTCAGGCTGACGAGACGGGTAGGACGTATGACACAGGGCAGGTTTAAAATGAATGCATGGAAGTTGGAGGGTGTGGGTAGCACAAGTGGGGCTTCCCTCGCAGGCAGTTCATGCAAGGTTCTCGCATGCTGAGACGGTGCCATGTCCCTGCTGTGAGCCCGGGGGCTAGAGGGAGGGAGGATCAGCTGCAGAGATGGTTTCCCCAGATGTTGTAGAAAGCCACGTGTCATCTTAAATGGAGTAACCGATGTGCCCACGGAGCTCCTCAGGATGCAGAGCAGCAATGGGGACCTCCGGTCCCTTGATCTGTTTTAACTCTCTGACCTTACTTAAATTCTCCGAGTTCTCTGCAAACTAAGATTAATTGAATGGCCTTAGCCATTTCGTGAGAGTGCCCGCTGCAGTGACCTTACAGATTACAACTGACGAGAGCAGGAGGAATATTAATTTTAGTTTCTACGGAGGCAGCTTTACATAAATGTATTGGAGAGACATCTTGTTCTCTGCGGTGAGGGCCCTGTCCGTGCACTGAATAATATACCCTGCTATTTCCAATACTCACGGCGGCTTGATTTGAAATATTAATTTAGACACTGAATAGGGAACCTTTTCAACGTCTAAAGAACCACACGGAGCTAATGTGCACAATACAATGTTCCTGCTCACCTTTACAAAATGCTAAAGTCCTTGTTGAAAGAGCAGGCTGCAGCTTGTGGCTTATTTCCCAGTTGTTTCAGCAAAGGGGTTACTGGGAAGCAAGGAGGCTGGGGCAGCGGGGCTGAACTTGGACCCAAGAGACATGGATTGGATTCTTCTCTCTGCTACAGATGACTCAGGTGATCTTGGGCAAGTCCCTTACTAATCCTTCCTTTGTCTTACTTGCTCAGGGCAGGGGCACGAGAGATGTTCACACCAATGCAACTTGCATCGGTGTTGTACTCTGAGGTTGATTCTCCTGGGTCCTAGAGTGGACAGAAGTCCTGGGTAGTTGCAAGTAGGTTGCAGAGAAACAGGTAATAGCCAATTTGCCTTGAGCAAACTGCCATCTGGGGATCAGCTGCTGACACATAACACATATGCTGGTGTAGATGTTTTCCTAGGTATCTCTGCACTAGATGGGGGACTATATTGTGTGCCTGCTCCTTTTCAAACCTCATTTTCACACCTTGTTTCAAATCCAAATACAGCAAAGGGTATTCGTTGGTGCACGTCCTGCTGCATGTGCTCATGCCCTTAGCTTGTAGACTCTTTGGGGAAAGGCTTGCTAGGGATTTCTACAGTGCCTAATGCAGTGGGGCCCTAATCTGGATCACTATGGCAAATGTCACTAATAATACCAAGCCACTGTACCTGTTGTCATGGACCCACACAAGATGGCATTTTGTAATTAAGCTCCTATATGGACTAGCTGACAGGCATGCACTGAGCACCCTCTCTTTTTAAAAAAGCCTGCAGCTGAATGCATGCCGCTGAACCCGGCTGCTGTCCTAGGGAAAGCAGACTCCTATTTATGTGGGTGACATGGGCTGTCCTTGCACGGTGATTTCACAGGCTCTCAGCTCTGCCTTCTGTCACCAAAGTTATCGAAGCTTATGGCTTCAGGTCATTTCTGTATGGGGGTGAAGGAGGGATTATTTTCTTTAACAGTGAACTGATAATTTCCTAGTGAACATCCCTGTTATTGGTACCCAGTCACCCCTTGGGCAACTGCTTCCCTAGCCTTCCTCTTCCTCATCCCAAAAGACCTTTGGACTACATTTCAGGGACAGGGCCCAAGGCTTCCTGGGTGTCTGCCCAACCCCTGGGACAACAGGGACTCTGATTTCATTCGAGACCTCTCAACACGACTGTCATGCACCTAGAAATTTGTGCTGCTTCCCGTTAGCTGAGTCCTAAATGTTTCTCCTGGATATAAGTGCATTGCAGACATGCAGTTCCCCTGCCCCAGTTGCAACCATTGCTTGATTTCTCAGCTGGAGTAGCAATGACAGGTGCAATCATTTCCCTGTGGAGACGCATCTGATCTCTTGGCTCTCTGGTGGGGGATTTATTATGAGAGGCAATGAGTATGGAAGGTCACACTTCATTATTCTTACTTGTATTTGCTTTGTAAATAGGGAACCTAATACGCTCAGGATTTGTTTGATGCAATTCAGAGATCAGCCCTAGCACATTTGCTCTGATGCACTTAGTGAAGGCACGTCCGAGTTCGGCAGAGACTGATGAAATCCAAATGCAGCGTGATTTAAAAGCAAAGCTAGGGGAGCGGAGCAGAAAAGGCACAGGTGTGGCTGGAGCACTCACTGCCACCAAATGATGGTTGCTGGTCCATCACTGGATATCGGGAGGGGGCTGGGAAGGAGGGAGGTGCTAGGTTTAATTCTGGCCAGCTGAAGTCCATCTATGCTTTGACTTTCCTCTGCTTCAGGGAAGTAGGAATACGGCCCGTGCCCCCATGGGAAGGAGGTTCAGTGTTTTGGAAAGGCAGGTGGGTTTTTAAATCTCTGTTTGATGGGTCAAAATCTCAGGGGGGAGGTCAGGGAATGAAATGAAAGGAGGGAGAGTGCTTGTTGGACAAGGAGAGGTAGCTTGGTACAGGGTGAGGTGCCTAGTGTCAACGATGCTGGAGCAGCCCCTTTGCTGGCGTAAGTTCAGACACCCGAGCCTCGGGGCTGATCTGTGCAGAAGTGCTTTGAGGCATGTGTTGATCATCACAGAGCCCCGACCTTGGAAGTCATGGGGGCCAGCCCACTCCTAGAGATGGCAACCGCCTTGTTTGATCCCCGTCTTCAACTGAGCAAGATCTGTCTTGAAACTATGGCATGTTTTTGCCCCCACTCCTCCTCCTGGGAGGCTGCTCCAGAGTCTTCCCTCCCCTGAGCATCAGCAATGTGCTTCTAATTTCCAGCCTGAATTTATCCAGTTTGTCCCCATCAGATTTCATGCCAGTGTTGGCCTTTAGTTCAATGCTTCTTTCCCTGCCAGTATATCTGCAGAGAGCAATCCTATCCACCCTCAACCTTTTGCTTTCTGAGGCTAAAACAAACTCCTTTCAATCCCTGGTGTAATCTGAGCATCCAGGTAGCCTGTCCTGGCCTCAGTTAATCTTTCCCTAGCTTCATAGTAGGTCTGACCCATCCTAGGATCCCATTTTCCCTTTTTGTGGTTGCATTACACTGGTGCTCCAGAGTTATCCTGTGATTGAGTCCCCCGCTTCACCCAGTTTTTCTTCTCTGGTTTTATTTCTGGCTGGTGAGCTGCCAGTTAAAAGCAGAAAATCATCCCTAAGGTTATGGCCTTGTACTTCCTGCTACTGAGCATCATCCCGTTTCCATCTTTCCCGTTCGCAAGGTTAGCCATGTCTTCTCATATGCTCCAAGACCCCCTTAGCATTGACTGTGCCTCCTAATAGCAGCTGATTGTGTCAGCACGCTCCTATTTTTGGCACCATGGTCACCATGAAAGTATGAAATAAGATCGGGCCAAGGCTGATCTGTGAGGAAGCTTCCTCCAGCCTGAGAGTCTCCTTGTCAATGCAACCATTGCCATTGTGCCCTTAGCCGGTTCCTCCCCTACTTCACACTTCCCATCCTAATCCCCATCTTCTCTAGCTGAGCTGATAAGTTCCCATGTAGTACTAAGACAGGTGGCACATTGAGGTCTGCTTGGATGAGATCTACTGTGGTTCCTCTCTTTAAAATATCACTTACTTGATCAAAGGGAGTTACTGGGTCAGTTCGGTGCGATATGCTTTTGGTGGACCAATAGAAATCATAGAAAAGGAGGGTTGAAGGGAGCTCAGGAAGTCACATCTAGTTCAAACCCCTGCTCCAAGCCCTAGCTACATCATCCCAGACAAGGCTGTGTCTACCCGGGTCTTCAAAACCTTCAAGGATGGAGACTTCACCACCTCTGTGGGTAACCTGTCCCTGTGCTTCACCACCTTCCTAGTGAGAGAGTTTTTCCTGATATCCAACCTCAACTTCCCTAGCTGCAGCTTGAGCCCATTGCTCCTTGTCCTGTCATCTGCCCCCACTGAGACCAGTCCAGCTCCATCCTCTTTGCAGCCCCCCGGCAGGGAGGTGAAGGCTGCTATTCAATCCCCCTCAGTTTTCTCTTCTGCAGACTCAGTCAGCCCAGTTCCCTCAGCCTCTCCTCACCAGTCCTGTCCCCCAGCTCACAACCATTTTTCTTGCCCTCCACTGGGCTCTCTGCAACCTGTCCACATCCTTTCTGTAGTGGGGGGGCCCACAGCTGGACACAGGACTCCAGATGTGGCCTCCCCAGTGCTGAATAGAGGGGAGGAATCGCTGCCCTCAATCCACTGGCCACGCGGCTACCAATGCAGCCCAGGACACTGGTCTCCTTCTTGGCACCGAGGGGACACTGCTGGCTCCTGTTCAGCTTCTTGCCCCCTGTCCCCTCAGGTCCTTTTCTGCAGAGCTGCTGCCCAGCCTGCCCCCCCCCAGCCTGCACCGGTGCAGGGGATCGCTCCCTCCTCAGTGCAGGGCTTTGCACTTGTCTTTGTTGAACCGCATGAGATTTCTTTTGGCCCAAACCTCCAATGTGTCCAGGTCTCTCTGAATCCTAGCTCGATCCTCCAGCATATCTACTACTCCCCCCAGCTTGGGGTCATCTGCAAACTCACTGAGAGTGCATCCATCCCATCTTCCAGGTTGTTGAGGAAGATGTTGAACAAAACCGGCCCCAGGACCGACCCTGGGGACACTCCACTTGGTACCAGCTGCCAACTAGACACTGAGTCATTGACTGCTACGCTCTGAGCCTGACAAGCCAGCCAGTTTTTTATCCATGGTCTATGCAGTCCATGTTGCATTTTATCCTGTTTACCTCTGTGTCTTTAGTCTTTCCTTCATGATTTTTAAAGCTTACCCTGGAGGTCATAGGGACTGTAGCTATAAACAGCCATTGTCTGTGGCATGGGATCAGCTGGGCCAGGATGTATCCTCCTGCTCCATTTTGCTGGTGTTTACAGACATCACTGGCTTGGCTTCAGGGACCAAATCCTGCCCCCAAAACCAACTTGGGGTACCCCACAGGGATGCTCTGCTGGCAGATGCATACCACAGGAGTCTTGCTGTAGAGTCTCATGGCATGTGTATCCCATTGCTGTGCCCCTACGCATTGATAACGATTGAAAAGTTGACAATATTTTTATGGCAGCACAAGTGTGACACCTATTTGCTGCCTGCACCTGCCCAGATCACCTTTCTCCCATTCTTAAATGGTCTGTGCTGTGACGTCCTGTGCCAATCCTTGTGTTGTTGCAGGATGAAATCGCTCTCGTCACTCAGATTGAGCCATTTTTGCACCTTTTGCTTTAAAGGACTTCCAAGCTTCCTCTCCCTTCATGTCATCAAACAGATGCAATGATGGCACACCTGTGGAGCCCAAACCCTCAGCTTCAAAAACAGATCTCTGCCACTTGAACTAACAGCGGTCTCTGTTTGCTATCAGCAGGAGTATCCTTAAATTTCCTCTTGGTCCACTTGCTAGGAGGCAGCATCCCCGCTTGGACACAGGCCCAGAGTGACTAGATCCTACCAAGGGAAAAAATGCATCCCTTTGGGTCTTTTCAGGATGAGAGGCATATTGGTACTCAAGACTGAATCAGGTACAAAGGGGCTGGTGAGATGGGTGCCTGGCGTATCTGCCATTTCATAGCCAGATTGACCCGAAAAGCTCCCCCATCTAGTAGATAAATCCATTGCCTAAAGTGACTGCCTCAGAGAGCTGAGCCTCAAGGACCATCATCCAGCAGCTCTTGCAGATGAATCAAAGGGGAGATTTCCCTTCCCACCCTTGGCTCCATCATCAAGGAGTTGTACTGAGCTCATTTTGATGGGAGGACTTTTTGCATCACTCCTTGACCTTCCCCTCTGCGTTTCCAGAACAGGTTTATCACCTTCAGTAGTGGATGATCCCAAAGTAGAGCCCATTGCTCCTTGTCCTGTCATCCGCCCCCACGGAGAACACGAGGGGCTGAAGAGCAACCTCGGGCTCCAGCCCGAGCACGACTCGGGTGGGATGCTGCTTGGTAGAAGGGGTGCTGGGATAATAACTCGAGTGGTGATGCTGCCCTTAGGCAGATGGGAGATGTTTCCTAAGTAGTTTGACTTCCACAGCTTTGCAACCACTTGGGAAGGTGCAGGGCTGAGCCCGTGTGCGGACTCGTTGAGTTCGAGTCAGAGCAGGGGGCTGGTGTCCGGCCAGAAAGCGGGTCTATCTTTGGAGACGGGATGGAGTGAGGTAGGGGCATGACTCTGTAAACGGAGAACTGTTGCTTTGCAGAGGGGAGGATTTCTATAATGCATGCACTTCAAGAAGGGGTGAGAACGAGGTGGTGCGGGGAGAGCGCTGTGCACAGCACCAGAGACCCCTTCCCAGAAAGAAATGGCGACAGCAACAACCGATGCCATACTTACGGTGGAAATGCTCCTCCTTGACCCTTGCAGTGATCAGCGCCTTTTGCCTTGATGCCTCTTTGAAATATATTTACTGGCTGAGTCTTTTTGAGGCTTAATTCTCAGCAGGACCAAGTTGAGTTTGCTGCCACAATACAGTTCCTGCTGGGCTTTTGACAGGGCGTCAATAATGCTGACATAACACAAGGAAATGTGCGATAAAATAAGGAGCCTTCTTTCTCTGGCCTTTCTGATTTATGAAACTGCTGGAAATCATAACTCCACTGCAGATTGTGTGTGTGTGTGTGTGTGTGTGTGTGTGTGTATGCATGTATATTTTGTTATTCCTTCAAACTGTACTGGATGTTCTTCCCGTATTAATTTGGGGGTTACAAAATGTTCTAGGCAAAACATCAGTAAGGGCAATAAAAATTGTAATGCGGAGTTGGGCTGAAATAAAACCACAGCGCTCTTCTATCTGGCTTCATAAGGACTCGAGTGAAATGGGCACAGCTGTGTGGGCCAGTGGTCAGTGCAGGCGTGTTTGTCATTTTGAGTTGCATCCAGCTCTTCCCTTCCATGCTGAGTCACTTTAAACACACCCATTAATGCCTTTGACCTCAGTTTGTCTCTCTGCAAATTGGGTTGGCATGCCTGGCTAGCCAGCCTGTCCGGGAAGCTTGCTTCTGGAGTTTCACATGCCAAAATATTGCAGTTCTTAAGATTGTAGCACCATGACGTGGTTAGTTAGACAAACCTTCCTTGTCGCTCTTGCACGGAGGACTGTCGAGGTGGCATTGCTCAAGGTGGCAAATGCGGACCCCACCCAGGCCGTTGTGCAGGATGGCTGTGCTCCAGACCACCATCTGTTTCCAAGGGAGGAAGAATGGTTCTCCTGGTCGGCAGGTGATGCTAGGTTTAAATTGACCCTCTTGACACGGGGACCTGTTACAGCGCTGCAGAGGTGCACCAAAACCAGGCAGTGAAATGGAGCAAGCTGGCGACGTATGCTGCAAAGCAGAGCATACATTGGTGATGCTCATCTAGGTCCACTTGCCAGCACATCAAAGATCAAGCTGTCCAGACTCACCCCAGAAGGATGCCCTAGGCTGTCTCATGGCTGGTGGGAAACAGGCTGCTGTGGATGAGTAGATACCTCCTTAGCCTCCCTATCTATTCTCCCCTGTATAAAACTGGGTAACTGCCCCCTCCTTGCCTTGCAGGGGTGTTGGGGGAAGGCAAAGGTACTGCAGATTGCCGGCATCTGCGCAATGCACAGTGAGAGCTACAAGCATCGATTCAGCCGTCGATTCGAGGCTGGTGGAGGTTTCTCATGCAGAGCGGCTTTGAAGTGCAATGTGCTCTGCATCTGGGGAGTCCGCATGAGCAAGGCCACCTGGCGCTGCATTCATTTCACCAGTGCTTCGTTGGCTCATCACCTCCCCGAATCTCGCCAGTCCTTTAGATGGTGGTGTGGGAGCTGAACTCTCTCCAAAAACCCGGGGCTCTTGAGCCTTACCCTGGACCATCATGAGCACATGGGTTTTTGCCCATTGACTGGCAGGCTTTGAACACAGCTGCAACAAATTGCTTTTCATGCTGTGTTGCTGCATAGGCCTGGAAGAAATTGAGATTCTCTCCTTGCATCCCACTTTGGTGATATAATGTCCAGCCAGCAACTTGTCCGGCCTGGCGGTGCACTGTGCAGAATAGCTACTGGCTTCCCCTGCCTAGGGCATCTGGAGAATCAGCATCGCCTTTACAGCCAGGATTTGCCTACCACAGCAGCCGTGCACTCTGATCTAGCTCCTCATCAAAGAACCATAGAAAATGAGAGTTGGGAGGGACCTCGGGAGGTGACATCTGGTCTAACCCCCTGCTCCAAGCAGGACCAGCCCCAGCTACATCATCCCAGCCAAGTTTTGTCATGAAAAAATGTGGACAAATTGGAGAGAGTCCAGTGGAGGGCAACAAAAATGGTTGTGGGGCTGGGGGACAGGACTGGTGAGGAGAGGCTTAGGGAAATGGGCTGATTCAGTCTGCAGAAGAGAAGACTGAGGGGATTGAATAGCAGCCTTCACCTCCCTGCAGGGGGGCTGCAAAGACAATGGAGCTGGACTGGTCTCAGTGGGGCAGATGACAGAAGGAGCAATAGGCTCAAATTGCAGCAAGGGAAGTTGAAGTTGGATATTAGGAAGAACTTTCTCTCTAGGAGGGTGGTGAAGCACTGGAACAGGTTACTTGGAGAGGTGATGCAGTCTCCATCCTTGAAGGTTTTGAAGACCCAGGTAGACAAAGCCTTGTCTGGGATGATGCAGCTGGGGCTGGTCCTGCTTGGAGCAGGGGTTTGGACTAGATGTGACCTGAGATCCCTTCCACCCTCATTGTCTGTGAGTCTATAATTATCTCACAACCTGCCTTCACCCCACATCCGATGTGGTCTCAGGCAAACAAACAAATTAGTGCCTGGCAAGGCAGATTCTGGGAGCCGGTACAAATGTCATTGCCACAAGGATGGTGATGAGGATGATTATGGAAGACAGCATATGCCTCTGGAATGATCTTCACAATTCACAGGCCAGCAGAGAAACCCATTTGCTGCCTCTCAAAATATGCAACCCAGAGAGTCTTCCTGGTGCTCTCTCCTTTGTGCATTTTCGTGCTCTCGGTCCCCAGGGCCCATTTTGAAATTGTTCTAATTTTTCAAAGCGGTGGGAAAAAATGAAATAATTCTGTTGGAAATGGCATTGATTTGTCTGTGAAGTCATTACAGCTGTTTCTCTGTTGGAGGAGGAAAAAAGAGGAAATCCTGATTTTATTGCAATAAAAAAAAAAGGGGGGGGGGAGTTTGACATATTAAGAATGCAATGCAGTTTGGAAGCAGTTCTGAAAGGAGCTTTAATGTTATGTGCGTGACAAGGCGCAACAGCAATAATAATAACAAAGTTAAGAATATTTTCTGTCTTTCAGATTTGCAGTTTGGTCTGTGGCAATAATTATAACTGCATATCGGTGCGGGATAATTTATTTGATGCAGTGGGTTGTGTTTGACAGCCTGAACTTATCAGCTTCAAGTCTTTTAAAGGAAGACCCTGCAGAATATATAATGCAGGTATTCAGATAATAATAATAATAAAATGAAAAATACCCTCCTGAACTCTGTTCCATTAAATATGAAAATTAAAATGACTTAACAAAACACTTTTCTGTGCCTCTCTTTTACCAACAAACAAAAGCTCCAGTGTACAGCCTGAAATTGCTCATCAAGGGAAGAGACCAGGCAAGGATTTTGTAAATGGCTTTTTTTTTTCTGAATAAAGCAATTAGTGCTGAAGGGAACGTGTCATCTCCTGCGCATTGCTAAGGTAGAACAGCCATTGTGCTCCTTGGCACTCCATCAACTGCTCCTTGTGCATAGCTATTGGAGAGAGTGCATTTATACCTCCTGTCGATGTCTGATGTGAGGAAGAGGTTTCTTAAACAACCAGACAACGGTCTATTATGTGCATTAGCTTTATTATGTTTTTTGAAAGTGTCTCAGCCTTGGAGGATTGAAGGTAGCTAATACTACGTCACATTTGCGGGGTGCCGGCCCATTGCGATGTCTCGGGGGCTGGACAGTCCAGCAAAGGCGGGTGCCCATCTGGTTTCAGCCCTTCCATTTAGCCTTATTGCTGCATGTTGCAGCTTTTTGCACAACCTGAGTTAGCCAGGTGACTGTGGGCTGCTGGGGAGATGAATGCCTTGAGATGAACTACCTCTGCTGGGTGCGTTTGGTCCCATGGGGTTCGGAGACTGGGTTGAAGGCAGGGCAGAGGGATGACCCATCCCTTTCCAGAGACCTGTAGGGCAGCCTCTTTTCACGTCCGTGGCTGTTGTGGTTGGCACGAAGGTGTGTGTGGGGGTGGGGGTGGATATATGGCATGTTGCAGACCCCGAGGGCCCATCCTCACCCAACCCATAACCTATGTGCCTATGTGGCTGTCATCACCGTGTTATCGGGGCACCTGGGAACTGTCGCAGGGTTCAGGAAGCTGTGCCAAGCAGGAGGGAGATGGAGCAGATCTGGACCAATGTCCATGGTGACACCTGCTCTAACACGGTGCCTCTGGGCCTTGAGGAGCAGGTGCTTGGGGGATGTCACAAGGACCCGAAATTTGGTGATGACAAAGAAGGACTAGCTGTGCTGCTTTGACAACCCTGGAGGGGGGATGTCTCTCCTCTCCAGCTGATCATCCCAGCACTACACAGCAGTTATCAGGCTGTTTGCTTCTCCCTGACCTCATTGCGAATCCCACCCTGGAAGGCTGTGCTTTGAGGCATCTCTGCATCATTTCTTCCTTGAGAAATCATTGCTGTGAGGGCCCATGCCTGCAGAGAAGTCCAGCGTAACTCCAGCAGCATCCTTGCAAAGCGGCTTGGATCCACCTTGGCCGCACGTCCTGGCAAGGAGGGAGCACCCATGGCAATGGCCAGTGTAACAGGAGGGAATTGGTCCCTTTCTTCTGTGTGTCACCCCCCTCCCCATCTCTGCAGTCTGCAAAGATGCCTCTTCTGGGAACTGAACCAAGAGGATTAGGATCAAGAAAGGCCTGTAAGAAAGCAGCTGCATGATGGTGGTGGTCGGTTATGCTTGCATTGCCCGCTGACCCACGGAGCCTGTTAAAACCCAGGGCAAGGGGTCGGACCTGACGATCTGTTTAGGTCCCTTCTGACCCTAAGTACTATGAACCGATGAAAACAGCAGCTGCCACCACTTCATCTTCAGGCTGTTCAGACTCATGGACTTATCTCCAGAGCATCCTCAGTTTCCACCCAGGGCTGGGCAAGACGGCACCTTGCACCATCTTCTACGTGACAAGTTTCTCAGCACCTGCTGCCAAACAACTTGCTGAATCCTAAAGCAACAGGGCTGGAAGGGATCTCCGGAGGTCATCTAGTCCAACCCCTGCCTGAGGCAAGATCAGCCATCTCCAGTCCCCACCAAAAGACTGATTTCCCTGGATTATCTGGGGGTTTGCAGTCCCGAGATGTCTGCAGCACTGGGCATCAGGACTGGAAGTGGCTTCTGTGCTCCACCTTGCTAACAAGCCTGAACCCCAGCATGGAGGGGACCTCCTTCATCCTTATAGTTTCTTCCAATGCAAGCTTATCTGTTTGACTACAGCTGGGATGGCTGACAAAAAGGCCAGCTGATTTCATTTTCTATTAATGATTTTTTTT